TTTGGGATTTGGGATTTGGGATTTGGGATTTGGGATTTGGGATTTGGGATTTGGGATTTGGGATTTGGGATTTGGGATTTGGGACTTGGGATTTGGGATTTGGGACTTGGGACTTGGATTTTGAATTTGGGCAGCAGGTATAGATAGCACACAGTGCGTCATCTTAGGCTAAGACAACAATCTCAAGTTCAACCTCATGAAAAAATAAAAAATAAATAAATAAAAAAATTCATAAAGAATGTTATTATTATATGGAATATTTTTTTTAAAAAAAAAAGTTATTGTATGAAATATTTTAATTAAAAAATAGACTAGAAATCATTGCAAGGTCACTTGACACCCATTATAATGGCAAAAAAATAAATTATATACGAATTAAAGTTAGCAAAATAGATTTAAGATAAAATCTATCGATGGTAATAATCCTGAAAAAGACTAAATCATTTCATATTCTATTACAATGTTAAATGAATCTACGTCTTCATATTGAACTCGTCTAACATACTCATAATCCCATATTTCACGAACAAACCAGCCTTGGTGATTTTGTTTAAATACAATATAATTAGCTAAGTTCATCCTAATAATCTGTTCGATTTTGTCATGCTTACGTTGTGAATAAAATATCCAAAAGAATAACCACCGTAGAGAGTGATAATGTTTAAGCATAATTGGTAGATAATCATTTTCATTTCTTTTCGTTGGATCGAAACAAAAATCGTTGAGTTTGAACATATTACTCAGATAAAGTATACATATTCCAATTTCCGCTTTGGTAAAATAGTTGTTCGGTGAAATAAACAACACAATATGTAACGTGATAAACAAGAAGTTGAAAAAAGTTAAAGCGAAATAACAACTTGTTTTTGACCGAGCAAAAATTCCCAAAGAAATAATTAAGAACAATGATATTCCATAAAATAAAGCATTTTCGAGTATAAAAAGTTTTTGAAAAAAGTAATAATTTGTTAAGAAAAAGACAATAAACATTTGTGCATAAGTAGGTATAACAACTTGGATAAATAAGTAAAGTAAATGAAATCGTCTAAGTAAACAATGTCTTCTGAATGTATCAATACGATCTATGTTGAAAATTGATAAATCTGGTTCTTTCCAACCTATAATTGCCCAATAACATATCATTAGAACATCTAATGACATTAATGCCAAAAAGGTATAGGTTATTGGATGATGGAATAAAATGTCTTCGTTGAAACAGCAACAACCAAATGGAATGGAGTATTTAACCAAATTAGTTTCGACCAAGTTAAAAAATGTTCTGAACCGTATTGCTTTTCTTCCTTTGAACAAATAATAGTTACATACAGCCACAAAAGGGAAGAAATTATTAATAAAGGAATCAAAAAGATCATCGTAAGGAAGATAGTTTTCAATGGAGTCTGACATTTGACTTTATCTCAATAATAAATTATTTTGAGAATTATTTGTGTTTTATAACTCACTTTCAACATATGGATTTTGTATCGTATGATATTGAAACTATGAAAAATTCTCGTATGCGAATATAGGACATTGTGCAACACAAATGTTAAAAGCCAAATCACCTTATGAGATCATGCGTTTGGTCATCATTCAAGGTGGCATTAAAATCTATAAAAATGAATGCTATATATATACATGATGTCACGTATTGCGATCCGTGCACGCCTTATACCTGGCACCAGTTGATGCTAGTTAAATCTGTCCTAGTTACATCTCTATCGCACGTCCCTCATAAAATCGAGAAATGCTATCAAAATGAATTTGCTTGTGCCTATTTATAGCTTGGCCCGTTTTTTTGTCACCATGATAAATACTGTAGATATATAAAAAAAAAATTCATGGTGACACTTCCTTGAGATTTTTCGGCTACTTCATTTTTTTCTTGATTACTTTCTTATATTTGTTACTATTGTCACTATGAAAATAAAAACACCTAGGGAAAAAAAAACGAAACTTCATATGATACATATACATATATATGTATATAGGTCATAAATAGAGTTTGCTTATTATCACATAAAAAGAATTGAATTTTCATTATTATAGAAGCAAAATGGATAGGTACATATATAGGGAAAAAAACTCTCATTTTATAGGTTAGGGCTCAAGATGCTTCCTCCCATTCCAATTTTATTTTGATAACTGGTGTCAACTCTTTATATATTTTTTTATTTAACTTGCAAGCCCAACTCAGACCTGTAGGTCTGTGAGTCTAGTTCAGGCCTATGAGCCCAACTAGATCTACAGGCTGAATCAAGTCTTACGCAGAGCCTGGTCCTATTTTTTAAAGCTCAGACCAGGTCTATAATTGTATTAGATAGTAACATATTTACATTACATTATAGATTTTCTTTTCCCTATATCAGAAATCATAAAAAAAAATATGAAATTTTTATCCGCATAATTTTTGTAATATTCAATTATCATAGCTCTCTTAAATTATTTGATTCCTAATAATCCCAAGAATATAAGAAGTAATTCTAGTTACAGATATTCTAACTTATCTTGATAATAAAACTTATAATGATAAATGAAGCAAAATGTTTATTGAATGTTCAAACGTAAAAAACAAAAAGCATAAGTTAATTAGTTAACAGGAAGGCTAATTAACACCATATAAAAAAAGTAAAGGTGTTCACTTTCATTAACTAGATGATAAAAGTAATTTTGGAAATTAATAATGATTTATAGTCAATGGAATTGATTTCTAAAACCCAGGCCCTTTTGATCAAGGATATTTATCTTGCACCTGAGTAGTGACAAAACAACTTCCAAAATCGCACTTAGAGATCTCAGTCTTTGACAAGTGAAGAGAAATACATATTAAATTAGTGTTATGGAAATGACAAATATTTTGTATTTAATTTTTAATTTATTAATTAAACTAATAAATGTACTACATTATTGAAGGTTAAAAAATAATGATAATGATTTAAATCATTAAAAGAAAACGTTAAACTTGCAAGCGGTGTATCAATAGTTTTTTGTATATATTTTTTACTAAATGAAATTAACACATCTTGTAATTTAATTTTAACCTGCTCCTCCCAAAAATATTTTCTCTCCTCAAACTTCTTTTTTTTTCTCTCCTGTTCTTTGATTATTTCGTTGATGGTAATCATTATTTTTTAAAAAAAAAAAGATTCATCAAAAATTTTATTTCTTTATTTTTATATTTTAATTCAACAATGATTAATTAGTTCATTAAACCGAACAAATGAAAATTTTATTATTATTATTTTTTTTTTTTATTTGGTCATTTTACTAAAGGAAAAAGTTTCAATTTCTTTGAGATATTTCTTTTTTATCAAATTATAATTGAAATTAGAATGTATTTTATTCATTTATAAGAAATGTCGTCGCCATTATCAAATTTGGTTTTTGAAAATAAGGTTTTTGTTCACCGAAATTAATGGAATAATGGACGAACTTATTTATTTATTTAACTTTATTAGGTAATAAATACACCAAATATTTTAATTGTTGGGGAAACACAATATTTTTTGCAATAAAAGGAGTTAATTTTGTAACATTTAACTAACTTACCCCAATGTTTAATAATAATTATGTTGTATAATTTTATACATGTGGGGGGGGGGGGGAGGGAAGGAGAAACATTCTCGATAATATTTTATATTTTTAACATATTTTTAAAACATAATATATATTAAAACATATTTATAACATATTTATAATATAGATTATATTTTATTAGTAATATTTTGTTTCGGATTCTTTATTTCCATTTTATCAAAATAATTTAACCATAACTTAATGACTTAATAAATTTATTCAATGATTAATTCGGAGAGATATTACCGACCAACCAATTTATCCAACCATGCATCGCCCCGTCTTAATATATTTGACACAGTAACATCATCGCATAGTTTACACAAAAATTTACTTTTGACATTATCTTATCATGTACCGCACAAAAATAAAAATAAATATAATAAATTTTTAATGTAATTGTAAATTTCTTTAATAAAATCTAGAATTCTATCTGCAATTTTTATTTTTAATTTATTATATTATTTATTAGTAAAGATATTCATTACAGTTTATATAATTTGTATAACGATTTTTTGTTATATTGATTGTTTTATAATTTACAATAGAAATTGAATATTAAATAATATTAAAATAAAAAAATATACATTCATTTATTTATTCATTTAAAATATACACTACAACTATTTATATATATATATATATATACACATACACAATAAACACAATACACACACAATTATACATATAGTTTAAAATTTATATATATAAACTACAGGATATTCGAAATCTTTTTGTTGTTTCTGTTTGTTTCCTTTTGTTTTTTTTAATTTAATATTAAAATTCTTTTTTTTATTAATAATTAATTATAAAAACATATTTTATCAGTTTTTTTTTATTCTTCGTTGTAGAATCTCTTCGCTATTCACTATTCACTCCCCACTCTCTAATATTACTCTTCTATTATTATTATTCACTCTTCACTTATTTTAATTATTTTATTAAAAAGGAATGCAAAAATGGTTATAAAATTAAATACTTTTCCTCTTTCGAAACTTTCTTTTGACTTATTAGTAAACATTTTATCATTTTCCATAAAACATGAAGGTTCTAAAGTTATAAATTCTCAACTTATTTATGTTTGTCGATTTTTTGCTAAAGCTGCAATTCCTTTAGTTTGGAAACATTTATATCTTCAAGAACCAACTCAACGTAAAATATTTAAAGTTTTACAAACATGCCTTACTTCACCTTCTCATAAATTATTATTTAATTATCAATTTATGGTAAAAAGAGTTACCATTTGTCCTTTATCAATATCCAATATAAATGGTTTATTACAAACACTTGAATTGGTTAAAAATAATTTACCAAATTTATCTAGTTTAAATATTGAAGATAAATTATCTTTATGTCATTCTTGTCACTTTAGTAAAGAAGCTACTACTGATCAATTGGCTGATTTATTATTACATTTTTCAAAAAATTTAAATGAACTTTGTTTGGATTCCGATCATTCAACTTTTAATGATGAATTATTAGAAGTAATTTGTCCTCGATTTTCAAATCTTCGAAAATTATCTATAAATGGTTCCAATTTTACGGAAGAAGGAATTTTAGAATACGTTATTCCTAATCTTAAAAATAATTTAATAGAATTTTCTGCTGGTCGTGGTGGAATAAGTCCCAATTGTTTAACGGGTAATACAGTTCTCGCTTTACTTGAAAATTGTTATCAATTAAAAAGTTTATCATTAGAAGGTATTAATTTAAGTGATAATGATTTTATGGGAGAGGATTTACCTTTAAGTAATTTAGAATATCTTTGGTTAGGAAAAACTTGTGAACCACAAAATTTTACGGAACGAGGACTTTTTTCATTATTAATTACATGTAATGAAACTTTAACCACTTTAGTATTAGATTTAGATCATTTATCAAGTTTTGTATTTCATAATATTATTATTCCATTATTTCAAGATCAAAAATTACAAGAATTACATTTGGTTTCGGATTCTTGGGCTGGATGGACAGCCAATTATCCTCAACCTAGATCAGAACAGGAATTCAGAGCCAAAGAAGCTATGTGTAGTTGGAGGTTAAAAGCCTATTCGGGTATTACGAATGAAATGATAAATCTTATTGGTGAAAAACTTTCTACGTTAAAAGTATTTAGTATTTTGGGGGAAAATTATTTGAAATCAACATAATATTTCTATTTCTTTTTTGAACAATTTTTAATTAATTCCATCCATTCATTATTTTCTATTACCATTATTATCATTATCGAATTTTTTTTTTTTTTTTTTTTTCTTAATTTACTAAAAATATTTCTTTTGAACATTATTAATTTTTCTTTATCATAATTTTTAATACGAATCCACAAAAGTATTTTTTATATTTTCTATATACATATATATATTTGTAAATATTATATCTTTTTTTTTATATATATTTTTCATATTTTTCATAAAATATTTTATATATATATTTTTTTCTTTTTCGAAAAAAAAAAAAATTTTTTTTTTTTTTATTTTCAATCAAAATTCATCAAATTTCCATTCTAACTCTAACAAAAAAAATAATATTTAACACTAAAAAATTCATTTTAAAAAATTTTATTATCAAAAAATTCTATATATATTTTAATAATAATAATAATAATAATAAAGAAATTCAAAAATTGGGGTCTTTTGCGTTATAATTATTAATTATTAATTTATTTATGTCACGTGTAAAATGGAATAAATAAATACAATAGAATACGTTCAACTGGGAAACAAGTTTATTATTATTATTTATTAATCATATTATTTATTATTCATATTAATCATTTATTATTTACCATTTTCATTAAAAGAATGATGAAACGATATAAATATTAGTAAATATTGGTAATACTTTAGTAAGTAAACATAAATAAAACCATTCCCAATATCTACTATGAATATTTACACTATGAATATCTATAAATACTTGATATCTATAAATATTCAAATATCTCAAAGTCTTCAATAATATCTTATTTATAACAAATTAATCTCATATAATAAATAATAAATAAATAACTGATAATAATATTATTAATGATAATGATGATAATGATAACTTTTCGCTTTAAGCCATTTTTCTTGATTTGTATGAAATTTTTTTTTATCTTTTTTATCTTTTACTTTTCCACTTATCTTCATACCATACACCAAAATATAAGAATACAAAAAGAAGATCTAAAAAATGTATAAATATATATATAAAAATTGAATAAGAATAAAAAGTGATTTGAATAAAAAAAGGAAAAACATTAAGCACGGATAAAACTTGATTTTTTATCTTTTTCATTTGATATTAAATTTTTAATTTCTGATCATCAACAACTTTGATCGTGATTGCAAATGTTTAAAAATGTTCCAAATTATAAAGTTAATTGATGACTAATGATAACTATTGGTCTATATTATATCAAGTATAAATGGTTACATAGCTTATTTTAAATTTATAATAATATTTCTTTGCTTTATATTTCTTTATATATCTTTTATATATATTTTATATTTCTTTATATATTCACTTGTATTTCTTTATTTCCTAAACGTTTTATATTCACTTGTACATACATTTATATATACATTCATTTGTTATGACTCAAATTTTAAGGAGTAAAAAAAAAGATATTCAACACGCACACTGCGGTTTCTATTGGTTTTTTAAAAGAAACCAGTTATTTTCGATCGACAAATCAGTGGCTTGGTTAGAGAGAAGCGATGTTATTGTTATTGTGTTGTATATAGTTTAGGTAAGTAGATAGTTTTAGGTGTGTATATATAATATGGGTGAACATATTGGGGCAAGTTTAATGTAGTTATTTATTAATGAATATAAAAATGGATTAGACTACATCATCATTATAATCATTATGGATTTCGTTGTGAAATTTACCTTTCTATTTGTGCTTATAATTTTAACTCTAAAAATAGTAATTTAAAAAGATTTTTTTATTTTTTCAACTTGCTAAGGGGTTATCAAAAAAATCAATCCGTAGTTCTTCAATTGAAATTCATTAAAGCCAGTTATTTAATTGAGAATCAGTCGAAGGGTTAAAAATTTTCTGCCAGATAATCTTTTCATTTTATTTTTGATTATTTCACTTTGTAAAAAAAAATAAAATAAAATAAAAAATAAAATAAATAATAATCACATTGACATCATTTTTTTTTTAATTATTTTAATTATTTATCTTAATTATTTATCTTAATGCGTAGCAAAAATATTTTCATTATTAAATTATTTATTGTGTGTAAGGATACAAAAAGATACAAAATAAAAATATGCAAGCAAAACAACAAAAAAGATAAAAAAAAGAAGAGGACAAGAAGGCACCATACATTTTTCTATCTTTTCTTTATTTTATTTTATTTTCTTTATTATCTTTTCTTTATTATATTTTTTCTTGTGTATCACCAATCTATTGTATATTTAAAAATGAAACCTTTTTTATGTTGAACAATCACAAATAATAAGAATATCTCCCTAATGTTTAACTTTTCACAACTGGAATTGTTGTTGTTATCATAGAATTCTATCATTTTTATCAGTAAATTACTTACAAATTACAAATTCAAAAAAAAACACAAATAACAAATAAAGAAAAATAGAATGTAAAAATAGAATGTAATATATTGTAATATATTATAAAAATAGAACAGTATGAAATAGTTTTAAAATAATGTAGTTTATACAGTAAATAAGATAAAAAATAAAATAAAATAAAATAAAATGTCAGTATAAAATGTTAAAATAAAAAAATAAATGTAAGTATAAAATGTTAAAATAAAATTATACAAACGAAACTTTTGAATACAACTACATTTATACTTATAGAACTGGTTAATTATATATATACAATTCGTAAAGTAAATATGTAAAATATATATGTAAAATATATGTAAAATATATATGCAAAGTATATATGTAAAATGTGTAAAGTATGTATGTAAAAGTATGTAAAATATGTACGTAAAGTATGTAAAGTATGTAAAGTATGTATGGTTAAATTTTTTGACTGTGACAGCGAGGTTACTTCTTATCTGTTTTGTATGTACGGATAGAATACATATACAGCTTGAACAATGAAATCATCATGACTGGTCGGAAAATTATGGTTAGTAAGAAAAAAAACAAGTATTGTATCACCGCCGGCCGGAGTTGGAAGGTGTCTAAATGACTTTAACCAAATGGCAATGGTCATTTAATTTAACCAATCATATTTCTGTATTTTTAAATTGTTATTATTTAAAAATTATTTATTATTATAGCATTTATTATAAGCTATTAACCTAATAAAAATTATTATTAAAACTATTAAATTTTTATTTCATTTATTAATTTCATAATATTTAAATCTTAATCTAAATTTATTAATTAATTAATTAATTCATTTAGTTTCCAATTTATCATTAAAAATATTACATTTAGAAAATTGATCATCAGCGGGTTTAACAAGTATAATTAATTCACTGCTATATAATAAAATCTAAAGGATTTAAATTTTCTTCTTCGGTCATATCCACCCAATTCTGAATTACATGTACACATTGTTTACTTAAATAAATTATATTAGACTCATTGTTTTCTAATATTCATTGTTAGATTAATGCATTTCTTCAGTTTCATCATTATTAAGTATTTCATTACTTTCACCACACCACTTACATTATTAATTTTTCACTACTTTCATCATCATTATCATAATGATGATGAAAATAAGTTGTTTAATAAATATTTTCTGATTTTTCAACTTTCCGCTCCGCTTTTTTTTTTTTTTTTTATGCACATTCCAAAGTACTTTATCACTTTATCATATTATAATATTAAAAATAATAATTGGATAATATGAATTAATATTTAAACAATAAGTTACAGAAATCTTTTTAATATTATAATAAATGGTAATTTTTATTGGTCCATTAAAGAACTAATGACTCTTGTGCAATTTTTTTAAATGACTGAAGTTATTTGGTCATTTCAAAATGATCAAATGACTGATCACCGCAGAAGTAATCGAAGTATGCAATTGTGATTAATATCATTATAATAATTATTATTGTTATTAAATTATGTATGGTATCACTGTATGCACCTGTACCCCAGAGAACAATAATAACTAATATGTGGTACTAAAATGCATTGACCAGAGTTACCGTATTTGTTTTTTTATTTTTAGTTGTTATTGATGTCATAAGGTGGTCTGAAATTTATTGTGTTACATCGCATCACATTTTCTCATTTTTCTCATTAGCTTAATTAACATTAGTTTAAATTAAAAGATAATTTTGAGAATATGCATGAGTAGATTAAGGTTATTTTTTGCTTCCTTTCTTTAATAAATATAAATATTAACGTTACATTTCTCTCTCATTTTTATTATTTTAAGTCAACACAAGGTCTGCGACCAATGCACCGCTCATCTCATATGTTCATATTTTTTTTAAAAACATTTGCCTGATCGAAATCTTGTAGATCTTTTATGACATTTAATAAACAATTCGGAGTCTTACATAATCGGTGACTTTTTTTTTCAAGATCTTTATAAACTGAACAGTGCGTTAACTATTTAAAAATTTAAATCAGTCGGAGATAGGAAGTAGACGCGTTGGTGCTAATCCCGCAGTTACAGATACATAAATTGTCATCCCAATCGAAGACGCAGTCTTTCTTATAATAGAAAATTATAATTTATAATCCAAAAAAACTTGTGATTGAATATTAATCATTGCAAAAATGTTTTCTATCGGAAGGACAATCATTAGATGATGTTGGTAAAGCAATATTGATAGATGGTACAAAACTGGCGAAAAATAAAATAGTGATCAACGGGATAATTATTTTGAATTCATTGGTACCATTTCTCGTTTAACTTTTGAGAACTTTGAGAAAAATCAAAAAATCCCTTATAAAATAGAGATGGTGGTGAAGCTAGCTAAATTTGGGTGAAATCTTGGTGAATTTTAGATTTCGTACTGTAACCAATCAGGATTTACTTTCACCACCACCTAGGTCATCAAAAAGTTGTACAGAGTTTCACCAAAATTTAAACTATCATTTCAAATATCTCTTGTAATTCTATATTCACTTTTCAGACTTTTTATGATGGGTGGCTCCTCGACCGAAGACATATTTTTAGAATTGGCCATTAAGCAACCAATTCTATCGACTGCAACTAGTTCTTCTGAACAATCTAATGCACGATGGCCCCCAGCGAACCAAAGATTGGGTTAGTCATAGAATTCCTTTAATGCAAGTGCTTTATTAGAGAAGCTGTCAAAATAATAATAAATAATAGTAAATATATATAAATAGTTCTAGATAGATTCGTATTCATGATATTTAAAAGATTTATTAGTTTAATATAATTCATTACCTGATAAGTTCTCAAGAACATTTATAAAATATCAACTTTCATTAAATATTTATTAAATAAAAAAATGGACATTATTTTATATATATCTCTCAGCACAGGAATATACTTGTTATCATTTGATCACTGAATAATATTATAATACCAAGTCATAATGTTCATTACCATTTAAAAGTGTGATCATTAAACCTTTTATTATGACAAAATTTTTTTATGTTTATATTATTTTATATTAAGTGTTATTGAGGAGAGGAGATATTTTTTAATATAATTGAACGAAAAATGTCAATAACTCATATAATGATAATTTAATTTATTTAATTTATTTAATAATAGTCAACTCAATACCAGTCACATCTGGGCAGTTTTCAGAAATTATATTGAAAGATAAAGATAATATTTCTAGTTCGAGTTCAACTTCAATATCCGGATTTAATTTTATTGGAAACACCAGTGAGAAGATTTTTTTTTTTTTTTTTATACATCTTTTAGAATTGATCTTGTATAACACTCTACGCTCTCTCAAATTCTTCAAATCCTTCAAATCCATTCTGCAAAGCAAGCAAAAATCCCTCACAACAAGTTTCTAAAGGATCCGAAAATAATTTATCAACTGATAAGATTACGGCTGAACTTTCAACTGATGCAGGATTCAATCATTTAGGTTTATATTTGTTGAATATTATAAATATTATATCAAATATTTTAAAAGTCATTCATATTATAATCTGTTTTTTTTTCATAATTAATTTTGATTAATCTTAAAATTAAAAAAAAAAAAAACCAGCTTTTGCCGTTTCAAACAATGAACAACATAATCAACTCCAATCACAGATTAATTCGATACATTCAATTCATTCTTCGCCGCAACGTTCATCAGATCAAACAAAGACGACACGACGTTTAAGATCAAAAGCAAATAAAGTTTCTTTGACAGAACTTGGCATTGATACCGGTCGTACCATTTCTTCAACGAATGTAAATAACAATCATAATAATGGAATTTCATTATCAAATTTTTCATTATTGAATTCGCCACCTCCATCTGCAAAAATAAGGATGGAACATTTGGAAACGGAATTATCAAGGATGGAAAAAGAAATGAATCAAGTTTCAGATATCCAACTTAAAGTTTTTCAAAAACGAAATAAAGTTCATGAACAATTAGCAGAGGTAAGGATTAATCGACGGTATCTTATTATATAATATTTTATATTTTATAATATAATATTTTATAATCTAATATTTTATAATCTAATATTTTATAATATAATATTTTATAATATAATATTTTACAATTATGAACATCCAATTTATATTTCCATTTTACTTTAGTCATGGGGAATATTGAAATCACTTGAAATTGATCAATCAAACGCGCTTTCTAATGAAGATTATACTCAAGCTGACAAACTAATGCATGAAATACAAGAAATTCATAACAAAATCAAGATCCTATGTGGTGCTCTTTCTGGCGTCGAACAAGCATTGGATGAATTAAGAGAAAAACAAGTCCATTATTTAAAAAGTCAAGCTGATACAAGTAGGTTATTAGAAAAAGAACTTGTTAAGAAAAAGGTATTTGTACAGTATATATATTTATTTATTTATTTATTTATTTATTTATTTATTTATTTATTATCATAAAAATTTGATTATAAATTTTATATTATATTTTCAAATATATTTTCGCAGAAAGAAGAAGAAGCTACTTTTAAACAATATGAGTCTGATATGGAAAATTTGCGAAACATCGAAACCAAACAAATTAATGAAATGAGAGAACAATTAGAAAAAGATCGCAGGTTTCTTACTGTTTTCACTTGTAATTTTTTTAATAAAAAAATTATAATATTAAAGAATCATTCGAATCATTTAACACACACTTATTTGATAATAATTTTATATATACTTTAGCGAAATTGTTTTAGGACTTGATTTATGGAACAAAAGTGTCGCGGAATTAAATGAAAGAATAGAGGAACGTGTTTGTGTTGAAAAATCAGAACGTGAATCCCTTTATAAAAAGCGTGAACATATTCAAGTAAGTTGGGATGTTATATTTTCATTATTTGGAGAGATAAAAAAAAAAAAGGTCTTTTTATTTTTATCAATTTTCAAAATATAATCTTTCATCATAGACGCAAATTGCTGACCTTTTAAGACGTATTGAACAACTTCGAATTGAAGATGAAGGTTATAAACGACAAATAGAAGATATTGAATCAAAAATAGAAACAATTTCTAATGAATTTCATGATGAAAAAGATGAAAATTCCAAGGAAAAAGCAGAATTGGAACGAAAGGAGCATGAAATAGAAAACAAAACGGTATGCTGTATTCAAGAACATTCAGGAATATTCAGGAATTTTCATTGATGAATATAAAAAATATTCACTTAAATTACTTTAAATTTATAAAGAGACAAGTGGAAGGATCAGAAAATAATTTACATCAAAGACTTGAACATTATCTTCAGAAACAAGAATTAGCACGTTCCGAATTATTATCATTGGAGCAACGCATTAATGAAGTTGGTTTTCTTGCTAAAACTCACCATGAAGAAGCCATAGAAGCCGAAAAGTTAATTGAAAATCTTAGGAGTCGTTCTCAAAGTTATTTAGAGTGTGATGAAGAAATTTCCAAGTGAGCATTATTAATATTATTAATATTATTAATATAATAATAATGTTCATATGATTTTTTTAAAACGGAATAAATATTAATTAATGTAGTTATAATTAATTAAGTTTAAAAGCACAAATCGAAGAAAGTGATACTGAAGTCAAACGGTTAACTTCTAAAGTTATGCATGACCAACAAACTTACTCAAATGTACAACAAGATATTACAACTATTGATTCTCAAATTCCCTCATTGGAAGAACAAAAAAAGTTAGCAGTATCTGGTTGTTATTATATTCTCATTTTAATATTATTTTTTTCTTTATTCAAAAGTTACAGAAATAGAGAATAGAAAAGATTATATAGTTGATTTCAATAAGATAATAAGATAATAATATATATAATAATAATAATAATAATAATAATAATAATAATAATAATAATAATAATAATAATAATAATAGGACGAGATTTCAAAGCTGCTGGTCGTTTATCGAATCGAATTAAAGATCTTCAATCTACACGTAAAGAACGTACAAAATTTTTGGAATCGAAGCGTTCAAGTTTAGAACATGATCAAGAAGATTTGAAATCTTCTAGAAAAAAATTAGATAAACTTTCTTCCGATTTGATTGAAATGGAAGGAAAAATTGGCAAGATATTATTAATAATCTAAATTGATAAAAAATTTCAATATAATATTGGTCACTAAAGTTCATAAATTTATAAATAATTAGGGTCAGATTTATGCGAAGAATTACAGGAATCACTTCTCCAACTACGATCAAAATATGATGTGTAAGGTTTCACATTTTTGAATTAAATTTTATAAAAAATTTATATGAATGACTCTTGATTAAAATTATTAAAATTTTTTTAGCGTCAATCAACAAAAGTTAAATACTTTAAAAATTTTATTACAAAATGAAATAAAAGGATTAGAATATCGTATTCAACATGTTCGAATGAGATTTAATCTTTTGGATGAAAAAAAAAACAATCAGAAGGAATTATCTGATATTAATAAGGAAATTAAAGAAAACTTAAGTAAGATAATTTTATTTATTAATATCCATTGTATATGATTTCCGTGTATAAATAACCTAGAGTAAATATATATATTATTCAAGAATTCGAAAGAAAAATTTCGGATCATTCTTTAAATGCGACCCAACTTGAAGAGCTAGAAGCTCATATACAAAAAGCTGTAGAAGACGAAAATTTTGATCTTGCGGGTAAAAATTATTTAATGATTTATATAATAATGATAAATTCAGTTTAATTAATTGATTTTAATTATTATTATAATTGATTATAATTATTATTTTAATTGATATAGAACAATTACAAACCGAGAAACTTCGGCTTGGAGGTTAAAAATGTATCCTCAATTATTTATTTATTTATTTATTTTTATTTATTTAAAATTGCGTGATATTCCTACAAACTATTTAAATAATTTAGATAATTTTAAAATATTGAATCGTTTTTTCAATGATTTTGTAAAATTCTTTTCAGCTACAAAAAAAAAAATAAATCTTGATAAAATGAATAAAAATAATTATTCGAATTGCTTTCTTTTTCACTTGGCTTACCATTTTTTTTTTCACTTTTCTTCAGTTATTTAGTTATTTCATTAAATCTTCAAACCTTAATTTTATAAGTTGTTGATATTATAACATATTTATACCTTGACGCTGCACATAACACGAGCTTTAAGTACGGGAATATTGGGAATATCTAATTAATAACTAAATCAGTCGGAATTCGACTAAATTTGATACATTGAATAATGGAACCCGACTCTGGTAAATCCTGAAGTAACATGTGCCAAATGAGATTCCTGGCATTAGTTAAAATCGCTATTAGGGTATATCAAACTCTTACATCAAGTCCCAATAAATTCTCGATTTTTTGCAACTGTTTTCAACCAAATTCATGTCAACTATAAGGAAATCTTTCTTTACTATCTAAATATTGATAAATTATTCTATAAAGAAAAAAAAAATATAATAAAAAAAAAACACGTTATTTTTTTTGGGAAAATTACTAATCATTTAACGATCCAATTACACGAATTTCTTTCCCCAATCCAGTGTGTGATGTACCCTGATTAATTTCTTGTAAAATTAATGGTGTTCCGTTTTCTTTATTTGATTATTTAATTTTTTTTATCCAATTTTTTTTTTTTTTCAATTTAATAGAATGTTTCTACGGAACCATCAAGAGAGTACAGATCCCTCAAGGTGGTTAATCCAATAACGTATATATACATATTTTGTTATTTGTAATAAAACATGTTAAATTATAAATTTTTTTATTGCCTAAATAAGAATTTTGTCATTTCGATAATGGACTACCGAATTTAGTTCCACTCAATATTAGATATCACATAAGCGTGTGACATTTGAGAAAATAAATTATTTATTCGTAATAAATTAATGAAGTTCTTAATTTTTATGACGTCTAAATAATAAAACTAAAAAAAACTGCAAATGCTAATCTTGTTGTATCAGTCTTATTATAAAGAATAGGATTCCGATTTATTATGGCAAGATCAGAGTTATTCCCAATCTACCTCACGATGTAGATCTAATCCAGATTGAATTAGTGGATTATACTTTTGAGTGAACACGATTCGTGTAACTTCAAAAGATATGGGTGCGGGATTGGATTTAATTGAATTTTGTAACTTCTTTAATGTCACGTTTCCATCACTAAAATAACGAAATCTTTTTTATTTCCAAGAACGAAAAGCTATGGGGGTATTGTAAAAAGATTACAACCTTTTCCTTTCATAAAATTGTTTTCTTTTTTTTTTTAAATTATTTTCTATCGAGATGTATTTGCTTTTGAAGAAATTAAAAAGTTTCCTTTTTAGGACATCGAGGCAAAAATAAAATCTATTCAGGAAAAAATTAAAAGGGAGGAACAAATGAAACTAGGTGTCGTGAGGGTAAAGTCAAGTACTGAAAATCCCCTGGTTATAACTCAATGTGAACAAAGTATAGTCGATGCAGCAAAACGTATCGATTATTTACAAAAGGAGTTAGATAAATTGCATATTAAGCAACGTAATGTTCAACAATCATATCCGCAACATTCATATCCGCAAACTTCGTCTACACAACAACAACAATACCAAGATTATTCTACCTCAGGAATTATCAACTCGCGAGCAATTCCTGGTATAGTCGATGCATCGACTCAAGTAACTCGTAAAGGCGGATTGTCAAATTTGGGTGGGGTTTCGTGGTGATTCTCTTCTATATATGATGATTTTTGAATTAAATTGTTTAAAATAGATTAAATTTAATCACCATTCGACTGATCCGTACTTTTATAGACCTTATTAAAGCCGACTCTCCTATTACCTCCCAGAAAATATCTCTAAGACTTCATGAATTGGAATTTAAACTTGATGTTGAAAAGAAACTTAAAGAAGGTTCTGAAAGAATGATCAATGCAGTTACATTACAAGATCCAAAAAATAAAAAAGGACTTCTTGAAGTTCAAAACAGAACTATGGAAAGTAAAGAAAAAATTTCGTTGCTTATAAACTCATTACAAAGATATAAGGACCTTCACGTTAGTGGATTGGACGACGATGAAGGTGAAAATAAAACCTATTGGTTATATTATGAATTATTTGTATATTTTATATTTATAACAATTAGTATTAAAAGAAAAAAGAAGAATAATAATAATATTATTATCATTATTTTTAATTTGGCTATTTTAAAATTTCTTGAAATTCATTCTTATCTATTTCAATATATGTATATTTGTTGTTGATGGTTTCTGTATGTACGTATGTATATATTATCAAAAAATTTGATTTATTTAAAATTGGCATTATATTAGAAGACGAAATTGAAAGGGCAAATCGAAATGCCCCAGGACTTCGACGTCCGGTTACTGGGAGACTTGATATTCGTATACATCAGACTCGGTATACCGCACATGCTCCTAAACGGGCGAAAAAAGATGCTGAAACTGTTATTGTCATTAAAATTGATGGTTCAACTAAAGGGAAAACCCGCATTTCCCGTAATGATCGTTGGAATGAAGATTTTGTAATTCATGTAGAAAAGGCCAGCGAAATAGAAATTACATTATACGATAAACCTTATGAACATCTAGTACCTATTGGTCTTTTATGGATTAAAATTTCTGATATCGCTGAAGAACTTCGAAAGAAAAAAATTGAGGCTGGTAGTGGTCCAGGATGGGTAACAGCTTCTAATGCTCAATTCGAAATGCAATCATCACCAACTTCCCCCAACAATGAACCTTATAGTATACCATACGATTCTGCTCAGTATCAGCAAAGTACGGGATCGGTAGTTCTACCAGATGGTATTGAAGCTTGGTTCGAAATTGAACCAGTTGGTCAAATATTATTGAAATTAGACTTTGGTAAATATTCTATTTTCACTCCTTCAAATTAAATTAAATTAATTAAATTAAGTTTTAATTAAAATGATGAATGAATCATTAATATATTTCTCTCTCGTGCCTTTTGAAACCGCTAATAATTAGTTAAAGAAAATGCTCGAAAACGTCCCCCCGATGCAGGTCTTGGTCGAGCAGGCGCTTTCCGCAAACGTAAGGGAGAAGTGCATGAACAGAATGGTCACAAATTTATTCAACAAATATTCTATCAGATTATGAAATGTTCATATTGTGAAGAATTATTTGTGAATGAAGGATTTCAATGTGATGGTAGGTTTTTCATAGCAAAATTTTCTCTTATTGTTTTATATAAATTTTGTTAACTACCTTTTTTTTTCTTCTTACAGACTGTAAACTAACGTGTCATAAAAAATGTTATACTAAGATGGTCACTAAATGTATTTCCAAGACTAATGATGAGATGGTAGAAACGGTAAAGAATCAATTTGTCTTTTAAACTTTTTTTTTTTTATTTTTAATTCTTATGTGTTAAACTTAATTTAAAGGATTCAGAGTATAAACAACTTAAACATCGTATCCCACATCGCTTTGAAGAAATCACCAATATTACAGCAAATTGGTGTTGTCATTGTGGTTATATGCTCCCTCTCGGAAAAAAGAGTGCCAAGAGGTGTTCTGGTACATATAAGCACCTTGAAGTCAGCTCTTTTTGTTACAAAATATTTTTTCATTAATTTCATTAATTTAATTAATCCCAAATTTGGTTACAGAATGTAATATAACAAGTCATGCAAGGTGCACCCATCTCGTACCAGATTTTTGTGGAATGACCATGAGACGTGCCAATGAAATGATCCAACAAATTCAAATAGCAAGAAGAACTTCAGAAGCATCAAGTCGTTCTAATAGTAGTCAAGAGCTAAATGTTGGTAAAATACAGGATCATCAACACTCTCGTCTTCCAGCTACTCCTTCGCAATGCATTCCTTCACAAATCCAAATGCCATATTCCCCAGTGCAACAATATGATTATCAAGGTACTGAGGAAATCCGTAATCAATATGGTCAAACGTCTGTTATAACTTCACCTCTTCAATCAAAGCCACTTTCACAAGGAATGACTCCTAACTTTCCGGCACATCAAATGCAAATGGTATTATTTATTATTTTATGATAAGTTTTTATTGTTCACAATTTATAATGACCTACATTTTTTTTATTTATGATATCAATCTAAATACAGGTCCCTCCACCTAATCCCGTTGTTCCATCCGATAATTCTTTCATTAAGCATAAACGTAAAGTTGGCTTGGATGATTTTAACTTTCTTGCCGTTTTGGGTAAAGGAAACTTTGGCAAGGTTCACACCCTTTAATATGTATCACGTGTGTTAGTATATTAAACCGGGCAACTCTTTAAAATAATAAAAATCATTATAATGTAGGTCATGCTTGCTGAAGAAAAATATGCTAAGCAACTTTATGCTATAAAAGTGTTAAAGAAAGAATTTATCATTGAAAATGATGAAGTAGAAAGGTATGAATTTATCACATTTCGTATAGTTTGTAAAAAAATGAAATGAATTTTACAAGGATTGTTATAAAATTTTAATATTAAATTCATTTTTTAATTATTTTGAAGTACTCGATCCGAAAAGCGTGTATTTCAAGCAGCCAATCGAGAACGTCATCCATTCTTATTAGGTTTACATTCTTGTTTTCAAACTGAAACTCGTATTTATTTTGTTATGGAGTATGTCAGCGGTGGTGATTTGATGTTACATATTCAAAGAGAGCAATTTACTTATCGTCGCGCACAGTAAGTTTCGAGATAATGTTTATTAATATGAAGTTACTACTCATTTGTGAATTTCAGGGATTTACTTTTAAGTTTTTGACAGGTTTTATGCGGCAGAAGTTCTACTAGCTTTAGAATATTTGCATAAGCAGGGTATCATATACCGAGATCTTAAACTTGATAACATATTGCTTACGCTTGATGGACATATCAAAATTGCTGACTACGGTCTTTGCAAAGAAGAAATGTGGCATGGAAACACGACAAATACATTTTGTGGAACGCCAGAATTCATGGCACCAGAGGTAAAAATTGAATATTTCTAAAAGTTTTTTTTTTTATTATTATTAAAATGGATAAAATGGGAGGAAATTTAACTTGGATTTATGACTATTAAGATTCTTTTGGAACAACGTTATGGCCGTGCAGTAGATTGGTGGGCATTTGGTGTTTTGATATATGAAATGCTTCTAGGTCAATCACCATTCCGAGGTGATGATGAAGATGAAATATTTGATGCGATCTTGGAAGATGAAATTCTTTATCCTATAAATATGTCTAGGGATTCTGTTTCAATATTACAGAAGGTAATTTCAATTATGTATATCGTATATAACGATTGTAACAATTTTTATAATCGTTAATAAATTGTTAATAATTGTTATTAATTTGTTTCAGTTACTTACTCGAGATCCGGATAGTCGTCTTGGCTCAGGGAAAAATGATGCTGAGGATATTAAACGTCAACCATTCTTTAAAGGAGTTAATTGGGAAGATATGTTTTATAAGAAAGTTCCACCTCCATTTTACCCGTTAATTGTAAGTTTAAAATTTTGATTCATATTGGTCATTTGTGATACAAAAATTAATATAAATAATATATATGAAAATTGATATTTTAGGCTTCCCCAACTGATACTTCCAATTTTGATGAAGAATTCACGAAAGAATTACCAGTTCTTACTCCCGTTAACAGTCAATTAACTGCAGATAATCAAGATGAATTCCGTGGATTTTCATATGTTTCCGATTGGGTTGTCAATGGTGAAAAACAATGAAGTGAACAAAAAGAAAACCTCGTTTTTAAAGATAATTTTTTTGATATTCTAACGACATTAATTCATTCATTTATTTACTTATTGATATATTTATTTTATTTATATTTATTTATTACCTAAACTATATTATACCAATATATATATATATATATATATTAAAATATACATATTTCATTCTATGTATTTCATCTTTTCTTTCTAAAAATTCAATATATCAGATTATTGTAACGAAATTCATCTAGTGTCAATAATTTATACAATAATTATATCTGATATTATTTAAATAAAGTTATAAAATGAAAAAAAAAAAAAATAATAATTAAAATCTTTACATTAATTTTTTCCATATCACGATATTCTTGATCACATTACTAAAAAAAAAAAAAGGTGCCCAGAGCAATATCATATGGCCGATTTGATTTTATAATTTTTTTATGGTTTATTACGTTGTCAAAGAACATTAGCAAATTGGTTGCAAATTGGTTTTCGAATCGGTTTTTGAAATCAGTTGGAATCGTGAGCAGCATAGTGGACATTCGTTTTATCACCTGTGATAAATCGATCGTCGATCTTTTTTATATTGTGTAACATTTTATTTCAATTGATTTTAGAATAATAAATTGAACACAAAACTGAGAATATGATAATCGCGATTTTTTTTTACATTAATATATTCCTTTCTATCGTCTCTTAATGTTAGTAAAGCCTGATCAAATTGATCAATTTGATTT